GTATATCTAAAATGTACCAATAACCATGGTGGTGCATGCTTGCAATCCTAGCACTTGGGAGGCTGAGGCAGGAGACTTGAAAGTTTGAAATCAAGCTGGGCTACAAAGTGAGCTCAAGACCAGCCTGAACTGCATAGTGAGACCCTATCTCAAAAAGACCAAAAAAAAAAAAAGTACCAATAAAATTAAAACAAAGCTAATACTTCCCCTGCTTATAATTATAAAATCTTGGTTCAGTTTTCCACAGAGGATAATATTTTACTTTCAAGCTTTTTTCTTGTCTTTTTACAAAATATTTTTTAATGTACCCCTTTTTTTGTTTATTGTGGGAGGATAAAGTGTAGTAGACAAGTAAATGAGTCTAATTTCTATACCAAGGCATCAAGTTGTACATTTTAAATGTATTTCATTTCTACTTGCCAATTATACCTCAGTAAAGCTATAATATGAGGAGCTTAATTTCTTATATTCCTTGATACAAATAGTACCAGTTTTTGATGTAAATAGTATTTACAATGATTAATAGCCAGGATAGAATATGTATTTCTTTATATTATTTCCTAATGTTTAATGCATTATCCATTAAATTAATGAAAGGATAAACTTCCATTGTATCTTTATGTGCAAAAATGTTTTTAAGTTGTGTTAAAATATACACAACATAAAATTTACCATTTTAGCTGGGCATGTTGCTACACATCTATACTGTAATCCCAGCATTTGGGAGGCTGAGACAAGAGGATCATTGTGAATTCAAGACTAGACAGTACTACATAGCAAGACACTATCTCAACAAAAACAAAATGAAATGAAAATTTGCCATTTTATATGGAATGTAGTACTGCACACTTGTAATCCCAGCATTTGGGAAGTTGAGGCAGGGGTATCCCAAGTTCATGTTCCACTTGATCTATACCATGCCCGGTTATCTTGCCTTAGGTTTGAGTGCCTGGGATTATATGCATGCTATAATTACTGATGCTGATAATTTCATTTTTAATTTTTGGAGTTTCCTGTCTTTTGAAGTATGTTTAAAATTTTATTTGTTCTCTGAAGTATTTTCTAAATAGAAGCATGGGCAGGTTACTTAAAATGGGCATAGGGACTTAAAAGTTCTTTGAAATCAGGCATAGTAGTATATGCCTATAATTCCAGTTTGTTTTTTTTTTCTAGGAATCAAACTCAGGACCTTACACTTGCCAGGCAGGCGCTTATGCCACTGAGCTATATCTCTGGCTCCAGTTTTGTTTTGTAGGGGGTGTTTTGTTTTTTGGTTTTTTTGGGAGATGGTCTGGTGTATAGCTCAGGCTGGCTTTCAACTCACTATGTAGCCCAGCATGGCCTTGAACTCTTAGCAATGCTCCTGCCTCAACCTGCACAACTGAGGAAAGTTTGGGAGGTGGAGGGAGGAGGACTGATGGGAGTTCAGGATTTCTAAGCCAGTGTGGACATTGTAGCAACATCCTTCATCCAAAAAAAAAAAAAAAATACAACTAATTTGAAGACAACAATATGCAATATAACAACCATTGGTGAATTCTTACCATCTTGTCTGGTGAAGTTCTGTATCATTTCTAATGTTTTTATTATTATTATTATTTTTTATTCTCTTTAATGGTTTGATTACTCTTGCATTCTTATATCTGGTAATCTCAGCAACTTCACTGAAGATAACAATATGTAATATACCAATCACTGTTAATTCCTATCACTCTGTTTTGAAACCCTGTATCATTTTTGTTGTTTTCGCCTTGTTTTGTTTTTGTCTATGTTGTTGTTATTTTGCTATTTTTAAAATAAAATCTTTTAGGGGCTGGGGATTTAGCTCAGTGGCACAGCGCCTGCCTGGCAAGTGCAAGGTCATGAGTTCGATTCCTGGTACCGGAAGAAAACCAAAAAAAAAAAAAAAAAAAAAAAACCTTCTGAAAATAATGGCTTGCCTATAAATGTTTAGCAACTACCTGGGAGGTAGGGGTGGGTTTAAAATGCAATCTCTTAGGCTTTGGGCTAGGAATGGGAGACCATGCATGAAGAAGTCATGTAATAAAGTCCCAAAGTGCTGGAATTACAGATGTGGGCATCATATTCATCAAGATAAACTACTTTTGATATTATCTAATATATCCTAACAATTTCCTGTTTTTCTGTTTACTTTACAAAAAAAGGTCAGACCATAATGCTGATTTTACCCTGAACAAATCAATAAATATAGTATCATATCAAAGTCAGATTAGTCTCTTATGGTTCAAGAAACTGCTGGCTTCAAAAAGCCAGGCGTGGTTGTATATGCCTGTAATCTCAAAACTCTAGGAGGCTGAGGCAGGAAGGTCTTCAATTTGAATCCACCCAAGGTAGTTTAGTGATTTTTGGGAGGCCCTGTCTCAAAATTTTAAGGGTTTCATGTTCTACCATCTGAACTAGTTGAGCACTCTTTCAAAATATTATAAGGGCTGGGAATGTAGCTCAGTGTGAAGGCCTCACGTTTAATCCCCAGTGCCCATACATACACGCACCCTTGTGCACATACGCACACAGTATAAAAATAATAACTCTTTATTACAAATACTACAGAAATACATAAAGTTAAAAAAGGTGAAGGCCTATCCCTAGTAGGTGTTTGTATATATCATTTTCAAAAACTGCATGGTATTTGAAATATTGATTTTTTTATTAACTAACGTTATTGGTACATTTTGGGTACACATTATGATCACATTCATTATAATGAATTTGTACCTAGACATGATATAACTTGATTTTTTTTTTCCATTCCCCTACCCTGCTTCAATCCCTTTTTCTCAAAAACTCTTTTTCTGCAAAAGCTTTGTTTCTATTTTGTCCTTCTTTTCTCATCATTTTTTGTCTTTTCCCTTCCTTCCTTTTCCCCTACTCCCTCCCTAGTTCCCCTTCCCATTTGAACATTTTCTTCCTATTTCACAATATCTATTACACATGAAATACTGAGTTTTTGAGGGGGTGCTGGAAATTGAATCCACGGCCTCACACATAACAAGGTAGTATTCTATCACTAAGCTACACGTTTAGCTCTCAAACATTCATAGTTTTAAGTGTAAGTTTTTACTCTAATTTAGTCATTTTTTATCACCTATGTCTGTTGCAGTGCTATACTTTTTTTTCTCTTAGAGATTTACTACAGATCAAGATCCCAGGCTAGGAGCCAATTAAGTAAATTGAGGTTATTTAGATTGTATAATTTTATAACTCTTGAAAGCCTCTTAATTTTGGTGGCATATATTTGTAGCTCTTTGGTTAATGTGGTTTATTTGTAATAAAGGTAACTGAGTATCTCTGAAATAAAGTTGTTCTGTACTTTAACTTCAAACCATATTTCCTGCCAGAGGTAGAAAAGTGTTACTTACCTGATCATCACTGACCCTAGGGACTTCTTCATGTTTTTGTATTACTATAGCATATGACGGTGGCTACGCTGAATCTATTTTGATTTAAATATAAGAGAGATACATGGATAATGATTTCAAAATGTTAGCTAATTTTAAAATTTTTATATATTTTATTTCTACTTTTTTCTTTTTCTTTCCTTTTTGTTTGTTTGTTTTTGAGACAGGGTCTATCTGTGTAGTTCCGGCTGGCCTTGAACTCACAGTGCTCTTCCTGCCTCAACCCCCTAAGTGATGGGATCACAGGTGTGCACTATCACACTCAGTTTTGTTTTTCTATTTTTTTCCACAATGCTGGTTATAAAATCTAGGGCCACATGCATGCTAGTCAAGTACCATTCTACATCCCTAGTGTCATCTTTTCAAAGTTTCTGTCACATATTAAAATAATAAAAAATATAAAACAGAAAAACCAAAGTATTTTGGTTATTAATATGTGTTTTGGTTTATAAAATAATTATTTGTGCCGATTTTTAGTTCCAGAAAGCTGACTCTGATCTGGATTACATTCAGTATAGGCTGGAATATGAAATCAAGACTAATCATCCTGATTCAGCAGGAGAGGTAATCTATAAACTGAATATTTTATAAAAAAGATATTCTGATAATGTTTCTAATAGTATACGTGTGTAGTGTGTGTGTGTGTGTGTGTGTGTGTGTGCATGTGTTAATGGAGATTGAACTGAGGGCTTTGCACATGCTAGGCAAATGCTATACCACTAAACTATATCCTCAGCCCTCATATTTCTACTAATAAAAGAATAAAACAATTACATATTCACAATCGTGTCATACTGAATTTATAGATTCTTAAAAATCTTGTGATGGAAGCTTGGTCAGGGCATACTGAAAAGATTGTAACACATGTCAGTGAAATTTGTGGCACTTTTCTTGTTATTTTTTTCCTAATATTTAAAAAAAGAATCATTGAGCCAGGTATAGGGGTACACACCTATAAGCCCAGCCCTTGGGAGGCTGAGGCAGAAGGATTGCTGTGAATTAGAGGCCACCCTGGGTTACATACGTGAGTTCAAGGCCAGCCTGCGCTACATAGTGAGACTCTGTCTCAACCCCCCATAAATAATACAGTACAATACAATACAATACAAAAGAATCATTGAAGGCTGGGGACGTAGCTCAGTGATAGAGAGGTTCTCTGGTATGTTTAAGGCCCTGGCTTCCATTGCGAGCACCAAGACCAAAAAGAATCACTGATCTCAGAAGTACAAACCAGGGTAGAGGCTGGAGATTGAGGTCAGTGGCACAGCGCCTGCCTGGCAAGCGCAAGGTCATGAGTTTGATTCCTGATACCAGATAAAAACCAAGAACACCCCCCCCCCAGAAAAAAAACCAAACCAGGGTAGAAACCTCTGAAATTCCATGAGTAGCTGCTACTCATGTAGGGCAGTTATTCTTCTGAAAGTACTGGTAGCCCTGCTAATTCTCGTAGGAAGAAAATGACATACTGTTCAATTTGTTTAATTATACAGTGTGAGCAGTGACTTTTGCATAAAATTGTGTGCTTAATTATTCTAAGACCAGGTAGATTAGGAATATTATCTATTCATTAATATTTATTTTTCGGATGGAAGTCTGTTTTGCCCACGCTGCTCTCAGGCTCCTAGGCTCCAGTGATCCTCTCGACTTAACCTCCTGAGTGTCTGGGAGTATAGACACACACTACTGCCCCTAGCTGACTCTGCTTATAGCCATAAAATCACAACTATAAGTATCCATGCCCATGGAATAAAAGGAAATGATGCCTAAAAGTATTAATATCTTTGACAGTTCTTGCCAGCAAACAAGACATATATATACTTTGGTCCTGGAAATCAAACTCAGGAACTAGTGCTTGCCAGGCAGACACTGCACTGCTGAGCTATATCCCCAGCCCAAGACATACTATATTTTATAGTTTTCAAGAAAGTGAAACACATTAAAATTTTTTTTGCCTGGGTAGAAGTACAAATTAAAGTGGTATTTTATACAAAGTCAGGAAAACTTCATGAATGTTCAGTTTTTACTGTTTAGTTCATGGTATTTCAGAATTTTGATGGGAGTATATTTGAATTATTCTAGATCTTGACTTTTTTCTTTGTCTTCTGTTTTCTGTGGCACTGGAGATTGAACCAAGGGCCTTTGCACTGAGCTACATCCCAGACCCTTTTTTGAAACAGGATCGCTCGCTGGCCTTGAACTTGTGATCCTCCTGCCTCAGCCTCCCAAGTAGCTAGGATTACAGGCTCATGCTTAATATTTTGAGGAACCACCAAACTATTTTTTTGAAGTAGCTGAATCATTATATAGTCTTAGGGTTTTCTTTTTCTAGTTGTGAAATATTCATAACACAAAATTTACCTTTTTTTCATTTGTTTTTTGAGATTGGTTCTCACTATGCGAATCAGGCTGGCCTTGAACTCACTATGCACCAAGATGGCCTCAAACTCAGAACAGACCTCTTGCCTCACCCTCTCAAAGTGCTGGGATTACAGGCATACCTACATCCACACTCAGTGTTACCTTTTTAAAGTGTAGAGGTTAGTGCCCCCATCATGGGAATCACCACTCTACTTTTTTTTTTTTGGTTTTTCTCCGGTACCGGGAACCGAACTCACGACCTTGTGCTTGCCAGGCAGGCGCTTTGCCACTGAGCTAAATCCCCAGCCCCCCACCATTCTACTTTTGTCTTTATGAATTTGGCTTCTCTAGGCACAGCATAGATCTAGAAGCATGTATCTGTCTATTTGTGACTGGTTGATTTCACTTCATGCACTGCACTCAAGATTCATCCATATTGTAGCAGTGTCAGAACTTCCCCTATTCCCCTTTTTTTGTCTTTTTGAGACGGGGTTTTGCTATACAGTTCAGGCTGGCCTTGAACTTACAGCAGTTCTCCTGTCTCAGCCTCTCAAATGCTGGGATTACAGGTATGTGCTACCATGCCCGGCCACTTCCTGGCCTTTTTAAGGTGGAATAATGTTCCACTGTATGTGAGTTTATCCACTGTAGGTTTCTTTATCTGTTCATCTGTCAATGGACATTTAGTTTGCTTCCAACTTTTGGCTATTGTGAATATTGCTGCTATAAACATTTGTGAATAAATATTTGTTTGAGTACATGCTTTCAGTTCTTTTGAGTACACAGCCAGCAGTGGAACTGCTAGATTACATAGTAATTCTGTATTTTAATTTCTGAGGAACTATATCTTTTTAAACACTTTAATATTTATCTAATAACTTTCCTTTCCTTTTGTGTGTATGTGTTACATTTAGGAATGAAATCATTCTCTCAGTGTTCCTAGGTTTGCCTAATATTAGGCCTAATGATTGTTTGTCAAGAAAGAGGAAAGTGCCAGGTATAGTAGTCTACACCTATAATCCCAGCGTTCCGGAGGCCAAGGTGGGAGAATTGCTATGAGTTTGAGGCCAGCTTGAACTACATAGTGAGACCCTATCTAAAAAAAATTAATTAATTAATTTTAAAAAAAGAAAAAAGAAAGTAAATTACAAGTTTTTAATATTTACTATCTCCCTGTGGTGATATACTGTGTGTACTGGTAGTAAATATTCATTGACATTATATGCCAGCCACTTGTGGTGAGTATATGTGTTTACTCAGCTCCACATATATACATACTTTTATTTAGCCCCATTACCTTCATTTTAGTACCATTTATGACTTGGAGGCTGTCAACAACTGTGCATAAAAGTCAACCTTTTTTGTCTAGGGTGTATTTATACAGAGACATACAATAAACTATAAGTTCCTATTATTATGTTTTCATCCTTAATTTTTCCAGAACAGTAATTTTGTTTCATTATTTATTTATTTATTTATTTACTTACTTACTTACTTACTTACTTATTTTTGTCTTTTTTGGAGACAGGGACTTGCTATGCAGTTCAGGCTGGCCTTGAGCTCACTTTGTAGCCCAGGCTGGTCTAGAACTTGCAGCAGTTCTCCTCCTGCCTCAGTGTCCTCACTGCTGAGATCACAGGTGTGCAGTACCACACCAGGCTTTCCCTGTCAATTTTTTTTGTGGTACCAGGAATCGAACTCAGGACCTTGCACTTGCTGGGCAGGTGCTTGTGCCACTAAGCTATATCCCCCACCCCTCCCTCTCAATTTTTAAAAGCTTAGTAAATAGTACAACTAATACCATATTTTCATTTGTTTCTTTAAAAGACTTGGCATTCTGGTGTTTGTTCATACACTGGCTCTTTTCTGTTCCCTCATGAGCAGCAATGTCATTAGTGGAGCGTTTCTTCTACATTTTTATGGCCTTTTATCGCCCACTTAAGATAAATAAAACCTTAAAATGAACTGAGGTGTCATAGGCACAAAATTAAAGTGCAGTACAATTTACAAGTGTTAATAGAACACAGTGGCTCTAAGAGCCAGTTATTGGAACAAAGCAGGCTATGTGTATATTTTTTTTCCTTTGTGATGTGGCGTTGAGTTCTGTCCATAATCTAGTCATAAGCAGGCCACATAATATAAAACATGTTATATTGACTTACTCATTATTATATCAGTGTTATTAGGTGCAGTTAATGTTATAGGAAACATGTGGTATGGATAACTACCTAATTACCTGTCCTAATTCTTCAGCTGTAGTGGCTGTTTATTTCTTATACTTCATTCAACAATTCTCTCTTTTCCTAATTTTCAAAGGTGATCATAGATCAGTTCTTGCCATTTTTCTTCCCCCTTCTATGAACCTCTGTTTGGAGAATTCATCATTTCTTTTGAGTTGTATATACAGGTCTCTGAGCTTTTTAGTCTTGAGCTCCATTTTAGTTACCTATGGGTCATTTATACTTACATAATTCACTCTTGATATCTTCTTGCCTCCTATAAAATTTCTTCTTAACTTTAAGCTCTTATATCAAATTAATTGTATAAATTTGATGAGTCAGGAAGATAACAGTTGTTTTGCTTGTTTTACGAGACAGGGTCTTGCTATGTAGTTGAGGCTATCCTGTAACCCAGCAATCCTCCTGCCTTAGCTTCCCAAGTCCTAGCATTATAGGTGTATGCCACCATGCCTGTAATCCCAGCACTGGGAGCCTCCGGCAGAAGGATCGATGCAATTTTGAGACCAGCCTGGGCTACACAGTCAGTTCAAGGCCAGTCTGGACTACAGAGCAAGTATAAGATGCTGTCTCAAAAAAAAAGAGAGAAGACAGGTGTTTTGGATGTTGTTTGGGGCAGTCCTGGGAATTGAATGTAAGGCCTTCACACCGTGCTGCCTCCCACAAAATTGTTTAGATTGGGCTCAAATTTGTAATCCTACTGCTTCAGCTTCCAGAGCAAGAGTTCATTTTAAGAAGATGAAAAAAGAACGACAAGACCAGTATTGTCAAATTGTGCACTATACAGCTTGCTTGCTGCTTATTTATCTGTCTATCTCTCTATCTACCTATCATCTATCTATCTGTTGTGCTAGAGATTAAACCCTAGGTCTCATTGCATGTTAAGGACATAGTGTACCACTGAGTTACATCTCTTGCTGGCCTTTTGATTGTTTTAAATGACTTGGTAAAGGATACTAGTCTACAGGATATTAAACTGAATGAGAATAATTATTATAGGTTCTAGAAGTTTTGTGGCAAATGGAGTAAGAAAATAAGAAAATTATTTTGTGCTTGTCGGGGCATGTACTTGTAGTTCAGGCTGGCCTTGAATTCAGTGGATAGCCCAGCCTGGCCTTGAACTCAAGGAGATCCTTCTACCTTAGTCTCCCAAGTGCTGGTATTATAGGCACGCACCACCATGCCTGGTAGTAGTTATTTGTATTACAAAATGAATCTGAAAACCAATATAGTTTATACAGTTTGAGTTGGCATGAATTTTATATTTTATGTATATATTAAATAAACTGGTATTTACTTATATTTTAGCCCCATGGCAGTGTGTTTATTAATTTTATAATTAGTGGTTTCAAGTTATCCTATTCTTGTTTTTGTCTTTTTGAGACAGGGTCT